ACATTTCATATTACTTCTCATGATCCCTTTTGCCATGTGATTCGATATAATTTCATCATCCAATATGCCGTTTCATTTAGTACAGAGTGGCCAGGGCCGCCATCAGGGGGTGACAACCGTGACTCTTGTCACGGGCCCGGCGGCCCTGGGGGGCCCGGACTGCTCTGGCAGTCCTGGGCCCCACTTTCCCTTTCTGCACACATAGATAGCGAATATCGCTATGTGTGCAGCCGCGGGCCCCCGGCTCCCTGTTACCGCAGAGGGGGCCCAGGCAGCACACAGCTTCTCCTCCTGTCTTCTCTCTTCTCATAACTCTCGCGAGACCCGCGGAGCGTTGCCATGGTAACCGGGTCTCGCGAGAGTTATTAGAAGAGAGAAGAAGCTGTGTGCTGCCTGGGCCCCCTCTGCGGTAACAGGGAGCCCCCCCACCGGACCACCACGGATGGAATCTCCCCCCTCCCTGTACACAGGTAAGCAGGGAGGGGGGAGAAACATTTAATTAATTTAATAAAAAATTTATGTTAAAATGCCCCCTCCTCCCCAGATCACACATTTACACAACACACACTGCATACACTAACACAACACACACTGCATACACTAACACAACACACACACTGCATACACTAACACAACACAAACTGCATACACTAACGAAACACACACTGCATACACTAACACAACACACACTGCATACACTAACAAAACACACACACTGCATACACTAACAAAACACACACACACTGCATACACTAACACACACACTCTGCATACACTAACACAACACACACACTGCATACACTAACAAAACACACACACACTGCATACACTAACACACACACTCTGCATACACTAACACAACACACACTCTGCATACACTAACACAACACACACTGCATACACTAACAAAACACACACACTGCATACACTAACACAACACACTGCATACACTAACACACCCACACTGCATACACTAACACAACACACACACTGCATACACCAACACACACACTGCATACACTAACACAACAAACACACACACTGCATACACTAACACAACACACACTCTGCATCCACTAACACAACACACACTCTGCATCCACTACACTAACACACACTCTGCATCCGCTACACAATAACACACTCTCTGCATTCACTACACATTAACACTGCATTCACTACACTAACACACACTCTGCATCCGTTACACACTAACACACTCTCTGCATTCACTACACATTAACACACACTCTGCATTCACTACAAATTTACACACACTCTGCATTCACTGCACTAACACACACACTACATTCATTACACTGACACACTCTGCATTCACTACACACTAACACACACTCTGCATTCATTACACACTAACACACACTCTGCATTCACTAAACTATGCACACACTCTGGATTCACTATACTGACACACACTCTGCATTCACTACACTAACATACACTCTGCATTAACTGTACACACAGCATCCACTACACAAACATCCTATATTCACAATACACACACTACATCCACCACAAATTGAAACACTCTGCATTCACTATACACAGACACTGCGTCTAATACACACACTACAGACACTGCGTCCACTAAACACATTCCATCTAGTACATACAAACAATACATCCACTACACAAACACACACTACATCACTGTACACACACTACATCCACTACTCAAATACACTCTGCGTTCACTATACACACCTTGTGCTTTGTCATGGGCCCCAAATTTTCTGATGGCGGCCCTGAGAGAAATGTGTATATTGATGCAGGGAAGAATTTTTTTTTGGGCAAGTTTGTGAGGTTTATTCAATAAACACCAAATTGGAGTGTATTGAAACTGAATTGCAACATTTGGGGGGGAAATGGCTGTTGGACAATTCTGCAACTCAGCAAGAGCCACAGTTGATTATTTAGACTTCATTTTACATTTTGGTTTTCAATTCACTACAATTTGGTGTTTCATGAATAAACCACTGGGTGTGAATGCATTGATGTATTTGTATGGAGAATCAGTGTGTGGGAATGCAGTATTGTATGTGTATGGGCATTCAGTGTGTGTGAATGCAGTGGTATATGTTTATGGAGAATCAGTGAGTGTGAGTGCAGTGGTTTATGTGTATGGAGAATCAGTGTGTGTAAAGGCAGTGTTGTGTTTGTGTGTATTGTTGATTTGGGTGTCTGTGTGTTTATATTGTGTAAAGTGTGTGCGAATACATATGTGTATTCTTGTTGTTGTTGTTTTCTCCACCCCCTACCCTATCCCTTATTATACCAACCTATATATGTCTCTCTGTAATTCCCCGTTATGAGTTACACAGGGCACCTTGTTGTCGTGCCGCAATATTTGATTTAAGAATATCTGGTACTCTAGCAAGCTGAGAATTATGGGAGATTGTATTTCTGCTGGTTTGTTATGCTGGCTGCTTCTGCAGATAAAATACATATTAATCATATCACTCTGCAAAGGTTAAGGCGTCTGTCTCCTTTTAAGAATCAACCAGAAATCATTGATCTAATTGATTAAATTCTATCTTTACCCAATCACTTAAAATATTTTGTCATTTAGGAAAATGTGTTTAATTAGACTTTGCATATGCAGTTCTGGAATCTAAACAACTACTAAAGCAAATAGCACATAAACATATAGAGATATATTCAATAAACAGTGAACTATGGCAAATTGAAAATCACATTTCCAAATTTAAGCCATAACAGCCAAGAGAGGTAAACAGTTGTATTAGACTAGATTTCCAATGTAAATATTTTTACTTGGATTTAAAATTTGTTTTTTAATGCAACATAGTTCAATTTGTTCACAATCAACTTTACAAATGACTCAATATTCTTGAAAGAATTTTCCTAATGATTTATCTACAAAAAAAAAACAAAAAAAAACAACAGACTTGAATCGTTTGGAAAGTGACTTTTAAACAGAAATATCCTGACTTATGTTATGTAAAGCACAATAGATCCCTTGTAACTGTACCCAACCAGGTAGAAAAGCTTGCTAAGTAAACCCCTCTGGAGGCAGTGGGAAAACACTGCATCATCATTACTGCCAGGTGTGTCCATTGCAAAACCCAGGTGATTAACACCCAAGTGATCAAGACCACTGGCCATGGGCTGCAGTAAAAGCCAGAGTTCTTAGAACCATTTGGTTATTATGTTAAGGGATTTAAATTCTCTCAGGAAATTAGAACAAAACTGAATTTTCATGTATAGATTGCTGCGCAGCAATATATCTAAAAACAGATATTATATGTACATCTGCAAGACTGCTCAGAGAAAACAGTGAAAGGGTTCTACCTCTAAATTCACCTGAGATGTGGCATATCAAGCTCACGGAAAGTCTTACAACTTTTCTAGAGGATTTTAATGAACATTTCCTTAACACCTGGTGACCCTAAATAATAGTCATGGAGGAACTCTACGTCCCACATCTGTTTCCTCAGATGTCCTTGCTCACGATTTCTTTGACCAAAAATTACAGTGTGTGCTTAATTCCTATTATATTTTTTGTCTCTTCTGTTTTCTTCCTATCCTTTCCTGTGCTTTGCTTTTTCTCCTTTGATGTGGTTTAATATTTTTTAAAAAGTGATTTGTACAGTTTATGTCAGCTATTGTGTTTTATTGCTTATTGTATTGCAAAGGCATTTATTTTTACAAATAGCATTCCAAATTGCTACTACAGCCTACATAAGCTGTAATGTGTGTCCAATAGCTCTTGTCCCCATCTCCTAGCTACACTCCAACCTTCAGCTGCTTTTCATGCAACCTTGTACAATGAGACATGCAGGCTCTTGTACAAAAACTATAGGGGAAAGAGGATAGATGGAGAAAACTGCACTCACCAGGCAACCAAGGTAACAAAAGATCCGAGGACGGTCAGACCCCAGGTAGGTATATGAAGTAGAGTATTGGTCCTCGCAAGCTTGACAAAGACCAGTAGGGTCGAAACATTGCATTTTTTTGCTCCAATAAAGCTGTATTTTGGCTATTATATTGAGTGCCTGGACCAATACTTTATTTCATATAGGGGAAAGAGGGACTGACTTAAATAATAAACTGTATAGGTTTTTAACTCATGGAATGAAAGCTCTTGCACTGTGCTATACGGTCTACTGGCATTGTCTGTCAAGTCAAGTTCAAGCAAACATTTATAAGTTGCTAGATGTATTAAGCAAAGCAGAATACAAGCATATGTAATGATGAATATTAATATTAAGTGAGAGTGTATGCTTGTGGGATCTGGGATGAGCAGGAACCCGTCCGCAGATGAACCTTTGCAAACACTTCTTGATGGCCTGGAGTCAGTGGCGTACACATGACCCATGGGGCCCCGGTGCGAAAATTGATCCGTGGGCCCTCCCCCCCACCCCCGCGCGCGCGGGCCGGAACACACGGCGGTGGGCACCTGGTCGCAGGGGTTACAGGGCTGCGACCCCTGTATGTACGCCAGTGCATGCAGATGCACACACACTTAAAGGACCACTACAGACACCCAGATCACATCAGCTCAATGAAGTTGTCTGGGTGTCAGGTCCCTCTAGTTTTAACCCTGCAGCTGAAAACATAGCAGTTTCAGAGAAACTGCTATGTTTCACTGAGGGTTAATCTAGCCTCTAGTGGCTGTCTCACTGACAGCCGCTAGAGGAGCACACTGAATGTCCATAGGAAAGCATTGAGTAATGCTTTCCTATGGGCGGTTTGAATGCGTGCGCGGTCGCATTCGGAGCTGAGAGGCTGAGGGATCCCCAGCGCCAAGGGAGTCCGGCGCTGGAGAAAGGTAAGTGCTGAAGACACACACACACACACTTACAGACGCATACACACTAGCTAACAGACACACACATTTACTGACAGAGACACAGTCAGCGACAGACATACATACACACTCACTTACAAAACATACACTCTCATTGACAAACACACACTCACTAACAGACATCAAACAGACTCACTAACACACACACTCAGTAAGACACACACAGTAACACACTCACTGACACTCACTAGCAGACACTAACACTCACACACACTAACACTCACTAGCAGACACACACTCTAACACTCACACACACTAACACTGACACTAACACACTAGCAGACACACACACTAACACTCACTCTAACACACTAGCAGACACACACACTAACACTCACTCTAACACTCACACTAACACACACAATAACACTCACTCTAACACTCACACACACTAACACTTACACTAACACACTAGCAGACACACACACTAACACTCACTCTAACACTCACACACTAACACTCACACTAACACACTAGCAGACACACACACTAACACTCACTCTAACACTCACACTAACACACTAGCAGACACACACACACTAACACTCACTCTAACACTCACACTAACACTCACTCTAACACTCACACTCACACACTAGCAGACACACACACTAACACTCACTCTAACACTCACACACACTCTAACACTCACTCTAACACTCACACATTTTTTAATTTTTTTTTTTAAATTTAATCCCCCCAGCCTCCTTACCTTTTGGAGTGCTGGGGGGATTCCCTGGGGTCCAGTGGTGCTGCTGCTGGGCTCCTGGGCGGGTGGCCGGTCGGGCAGGCGGACACGCGAGGGAGCACTCAGTGCTTCCTATTCAGCTCCCTCGCGCGCCGCGTAGGGATGCCGGTGTTCTATCAGTCTGGTATACCCTGTCAGATTGCTATACCCACGTCACTTCCGGGGAGGGGAATCAGCTGGATCCTGTGCTGCACATGCGTGCTAGCACTCCTGCTACTCCTCCACAGCAAGGTCCTGGAAGGTAAGTAAAACTAGTTTTACACTTTCATTATAGTTAGTGCATTCACTAAGCTTAGGCACACGGGACATTTAGGGTTAAGTGAGGGTACAAATTAGGGTTAGGTAAGTGCTTCTAACCTCTCTCACACTCTATTCTTACCCTAACCCTTGGGGTAAGGGTTAAAATAAAGTGTGAGAAATCACTATTTAGTGATATTCCCCTAAAGTGAAATATCACTAAATATGAACAAGTCCCTAATCCTAACCCTAATTTTTAACCCTAACATTAACCCTAAATGTCCCATGTCCTAAGCTTAGTGAATGCACTAACTATAATGAAAGTGTAAAACTAGTTTTACTTACCTTCCAGGACCTTGCTGTGGAGGAGTAGCAGGAGTGCTAGCACGCATGTGCAGCACAGGATCCAGCTGATTCCCCTCCCCGGAAGTGACGTGGGTATAGCAATCTGACGGGGTATACCAGACTGATAGAACACCGGCGCCGGAAGATGACGTCATCTTCCGGCTCCGGTATCAGTGCGGTGCGCGAGGGAGCCCGCCTGCCCGACCGGCCACCTGCCCGCTGGGGTCAGCAGGGCCAGCCTCGGGGGGCCCTGAGGTTGCCGCCTCTTGGGCACCCCAGGGGAAGAGGCTGGCCCTGTGGCTACATACCGGGTCGCAGGGGCGGCCGGGCCCCCTGGTGGGCCGGGCCCGGTCGCAGCCGCGACCACTGCGACCCTGGTGTGTACGCCACTGCCTGGAGTTGGGAACAGGTGTCTTGGAGGTCTGTGATGACACTGAAGCTTCACTACAAAACTGAGAATACAGAAAGACTAAGCACTGCCATGGGCATGTTCTTTGGCATTATTGGTGGAGCCTGATCACCGGAACAGACTCTTACTGTGGTTGGGGTATCACTTGAATCCATAAAGGGTGAGGGTACACCAGCATCATCCTGAGGCACATTTGCAACACCTGTGATGCCAAAGGCATCCCTGCTGTGACACCCTGGGTCTTATTGACCACCGATGTAGCCAGAATGAAGTACATTATGACTTATTTGTAACCGGACATTTTTTGATTAATAAACAAGTAAAAATCTGACTACTTACACTTAACAGATGGACACAATACACAGTTTTTCCCCACTCAGCCATTTAAACTATAATTATTGTATGCCAGCATACTGTCTTCATGTGAAAGGTTTACCTCCAATTAAAACAGGAGCTATGTATCATAATTCTTTCCATCCTTATGATAACAAAATGCACTTCACCTTCTATGTTCTCCTCGCACAATACTAGCTAGACTTCCATTCCTCCAGCTGGAATTATGTTTGCTCACCATTGTTCAGTGTAAGCAGTTTGTTTTGACATTAAATGTTTATTCCGCTGTCTGTTCTTTTATTCACTCAAAGGAAGTGAATGCTGCAGCTGCGGGCAACCCATTCAAATAACCTAGAGACTAGCATACATGAGCCAGGATTTATGGCTCTGTGAAATGTGAGTTTAATTAACTCCATAACCAATATCCAACTACTGAATTATACAGTATCCCCTAGTGTCTCAGTGTTCCCTAGTGTCTCCCAGTGTTCCCTAGTGTCTGTGTCCCCATGTCTCCCTGCAGTCATTCCCCCACATCCCACACTGTTGGCTGTCACTGCAGGCTGGGAGCTGCTCCCACCCCCCCATGGATCAGTGAGTAGAAAGAGGCAGGGAGGGAGATGCTGTAAATTCCGATCCCTGCCTTCCTCCACAGACACACACAGTGCAACCTAATGGCTGGTGCCAGCATTGCATCTAATCTCAACGTTTATACTGAGACTGACATTTGTATTGCCGGTATTACTGCAATACTGGCACCGGCTAGGCAGACTCAAATACCTGATAAATACTTCTGAGAAATACCTGGCAACCCTAAGAAATACCTGAGAAATACTTGGCAACTCTAAGAGTAGTGTGTAAAAAAAAAAAAATATATATATATATATATATTTTAAATCAATGGGCCTATTCCATGGGCTTGGGCCTGGAGCTGCAGCTCCATCAGCCCCTATGTTAATCCGGCCCTGACTATATATATAGTTTTAATGTGACCATTCTGTGGAGCATATGGAGTAAGATTTTATGTTTGCATATTTATTATTTTTGAATTGTATGCATTGTTTCTGCATTTATATTTATCACTATAAATACATATATAAATGCATAAGTGTGTCAGTAATTCTTTAACCAAGCATAAATATATGAAGAATATGTATTGCTTTTACATATGTCTCTGAAAAAAAAATTGTTAGGTTTAAGAAGGAAACAGACTGTATATGTTTCAGTGTTTTGGGATTTTGTCTCAATAATGGTGATTACTGAATTTAAAACTTTTCTAGAAGGAGAATTTATTGCTAATACCAGGAATGAAAATCGCCTGCAAGCACTGAAAAATAAATTAAAAGAAATATGCATTAAAATAACAACAGAAATGTCACAGTATATATGTTCTATTTTAGCTCTAACTTGTTATTACACATAACATTTGTTTGGTAGGGGATCAGCTTTTCTGCTTGAATCAAGAAAGTTCTAACCTTAGAAGAGTTTGGGATGACAAAAACTGGTACCTGGTGATCTCTCTGTATCAACATAAAAACAGGCTTTACACTGAAAAATGTAAACCATGAATCTTTTTGTGGGTATTCAAACTGACACAGAAATTGGATTTAAAAAAAAAAATCAAAATAGCCAAATAGGAAAAATTATCCAAATTATATAGTTTTGCAGGTCACCTGTTTTGCATTCAAATTTTAAATCCCTTTCTCCATGCTTAACATATCAAAGTTTAGTGAATAAAATCTTAAAGGGACACTACAGGCACACAGACCACGTCATCTCAAAGAAGTGGTTTGGGTACCATGCCCCTGTCTTTTTAACCATGCAATATTTTCATTGCAGGGTTAACACAACTCAAGTGGCTGTCAGGAAGGCTGCTACTTTCATAGGTCATACAGTTTTAGCCACTACTGTGGCCGCAGCTAGAAGTACAACAGACTACAGGCACCACCTCCGACCCACTCCTCCATAACATTCAGCTATTAGTTTGTTTTAGTGAAGGCAGGCTCCAGACTTGCTACACATGTTAACCACGCTTTTACACAGCCGGTATGCTGCTGCCTACTTTGGTGATGTCAGAATACAAACATGCATGCACACATGAGATATAGTTTGAATTGGGCGGCAGTCAATCACCCGGACCACTAATGATGTGGTGTAAACTAGATGGCTAGGCTTATACTAACCTCCAAATAGAGGGATGCTTAAATAAACTTGTTGGTTCCAACAGACTGCATTTTCCTCTGATGAAATCACTGCTTAGAGCACCAAAACGTGTGTCTTTGTACCCTTTTTTGCACTTTACCTTGGGGAGCACTTTCCTTAATGTCATGGATGCTCTAGGATATTGTCACTGTTCCTTTAATCTCCCACTAGTCCGAGTACCAGGTTTACTGAATAATGTGATAGTTCTCTCGATCAGTGTAGAGTTTCCCCAATATAATGGACGCAACCAGTTGTATTGGGTAGAAGATCAACTGTTTTATTAGAGCAAAGTTGCCTGCTTATATACACAACCCCCAGCATGCGGTCGCCATACAATACAACATAAAACACCCCAGAATACATATAAGACAGATAGGAACACCCACAAGTATAATATACCCAGATAGCCTTGATCTGAGCGCCTAAGTTGTCCAAATAGCACTCAGATCCATGTAGTACAGCCGAATCGCCACCAGGGTAAAAGGTTTGGCTGACCACCCACGTGGCTATTGCCCAAATTAGTTCCATAAGAAAAGAAGTAGCGGCTGGTCAACTTTCGGGAGTTCCTATATGAATGTAAATGAAGGCTCCCTCTGGCTCGTAGGGAGCAAATGGTCTCCCCGTTTGGGAGGGTATTTTCCCCCAAAGTGCGCTCTCCTGGCTTGTCTGGGGACAGAGTAGGCAACGGTATGATTTTTCCGGGGTTCTCGAGGCAAAGCATCCGAAATATAGTTCCACGCACTCAATGACCAAGCACCGCTGCCTGTGTTCAGGAGACAAAATGGCCATTTACTAGAACTCGTGTTTTCGGTTATACGAATAGCGGCCACCCAGAGAGAGCATTTGAGTTAAGTGTTTCTGTGAAATTAACGAGCCGGGGGGAGGGGGTGGTCTGTGTACAGTAGTTGGAAAGTACAGAACAAAATTTGGTAATTTAGGGAAAGTTAAATAGGGGAGTATACAAAATAGGTCGTGGCTTCCGTGACACTTACCATTTATTATAGTTGGTTACAGGGCTGATACTCTGTAGAGGCCTGCATTTAGAGTGCCAAGGAAATGTGCTTCCAGGCAGAGTAAGCACTTGTAGGCATATATCTAC